TATTAGTGTGTATAAGAAAGAGAGAGAGTGGGGAGGGAGAGAGAGGGGACGACAGACAAACAGACAGACAAACACACACACAGCCACACAGAAACACAGACAGACAGACACACAGACACACACACACAGATAGACAGACAGACAGACAGACAGACAGACAGACACACAGACAGACAGACAGACAGACAGACACACAGACACACACATAGACACACAGAGAGACACACAGACAGACACACAGACACACAGACAGATAGACAGACAGACAAACAGACAGACACACAGACACACACACAGACACACAGAGAGACACACAGACACACAGACAGACACACGCACACAGACAGACAGACACACACACAGACAAACAGACAGACACACACACAGACAGACAGACAGACAGACACACACACAGACACACACACAGACAGACAGACACACAGACACACACACACACAGACAGACAGACACACACACAGACAGACAGGAAGACAGACACACACACACAGACAGACAGACAGACAGACAGACAGACAGACTGAACAGACAGACTGGCAGAAGGACGGGAGGGTAAGTAAGAATAAAAAGATCCAAGCATCTGCAAACGAAGACTGCGGTGTTAATGCGCAGATATCAGTTGAACGTAAGTTGTTGTTCAACCCAAGAAACGAAACTTATGAGAAAATTATTGCAGAAAAAAATACCGCCTTTCCCAGCTGAACATTATTCATTTGAAATCAGATTTCCTGTCAGAGCGGGGTACTGAAATAGCTTTTGGAACAGAATTACAGTGTTTCTACTGAAAGAGAGCTTCTATAGTAAAGTATGTGAAGCATCGCGATGAAATCGTGCGCTCGTCAAAATAATGAAATCATAGACATTGGCTTTTTTTTCGCCGGTTTGGCAAATTTTATCGAATGTTTTTTTTAGCTCAACTCCTTTTCTGTCGATTTAAGAATATATTTGGGGGCTCTCGTGGCCTCGAGGTTAAGGTGTTCGCCTCTCAATCAAAAGTCCCGGGTTTGAATCCGGCTAGCGACGCAAAAATGCTCTTCTCTAAAATGTCTCCTTTCACCTCTTTTACTGCTCTCAAGCAATGTTCTGTCGTCTGCTTTCCTCTCCACTTTCTGCCCCCATCCCCTCACCTTCTTTGCCCCCTCCTCTGGGCTCCTGGTTCTTTTAGCAGCCTTTCTATGCTACTCCTTAGCTCCTTCTTGCGGCTGTCTTTCAGTCACACCCCTGATTTTCTGGTAGGAAAGATCTACACCTAGCCTTCTCTGACAAGGGCAAAAAATGGCGGAGGTCAGGTGTGCATGCGCACACGTTAAAGATCCCTTGGTGGTCTAACATCGATAAGAGCAGATTTCGGCCGCCACCCGGGCAAAATTCAAAATTTCCTACCAACTGGAAATGTTTAGTGTGTCCCGCGCGCTCATATGACTTTATGCAGTTGAGAGCGCCGTAAAACACTTACAAAAAAATAAAGGAAAGTACATTAAAAATTTATTTGAGGATTTTTACCGAAAAAATTGATTAAAGGCACAAAACTGAAAAAATTCCAGTTTGCAAAGACTCTCAAAGCTGTGGAAGTTACCAAACTTAAGCAGCCATTTTCTCGCTGATGTTACCGCTGAAACCGGACAATCGTCACCTCTTTTAATCGCAAATAGTTCAACATTTATTCAAGACAGATGGGGTATTTTAAAAATTAACATCATTGCAAGTGAACAAGCTTTAATATTATACCAGTAACTCCATATATTCACAAATTGACGAGCGTCTGATTCCACCGCGTCGTCGTATATATTATGAGAGTTAATGTTATTAGGCTATCTCTCAAACACTCTCGTCCTTATCTCCCCTTCTTCTTTTTTATGTTTGTTACTCTCTTGTAACACCTCTAATCTTCTGGCGTTCATATGACCTTATGCAGTTGCGAGCGCCGTAAAACCTCTACTAAAACTAAACAAATAAACACTCTCCTCGCAGCTCTTGCCACTAAAAGTGAAAGATAAGTACAGAGAAATGTTTTATAAAAGGTATATTATGTGTTTCGTATGCAGTTTATCTCTTACTCTTTTGCTTTCCCCCTCTTTCCTTCTTTCCTTCTTTCTTTCTTTCTTTAATTTTTTTTCTTTCTTACTTTTTCCCCTCCTGCCTTTTTTCTTCTGTTGCTCAAATTATAAATTACATAGCCCCCCACCCCCACCCCCCATCTTTCTCTCTCTCTCTCTCTC